ACTGGGAGCTGTGGAGGTTGCGTATACTGAGATGCTGGCGGTTGTTGGGGAACGGGGAGCTGGGGAGGTTGCGTATACTGAGGTTGGTTTATCCCTTGTCCAGCAGAAGTTGGCTGTGAAACCATTGAAGTATACATGGGTTGCGTAGGTGCTTGTCCCGTCTGTGGCGCATTGTTTGTTGGCGGCTGGTGATAACTGGGCGTTGAAGGGACAGAGGAATGCGGCTGAGGACCAAGATCATGATGTGCACGCTTAGAACGATTTTGTTTTGGAGATCTGGTTTGCTGCTAATACAATATATATAATACATAGTAAATCAATGTTAAAAAACAATATGCAACAAATGAAAAATGATTTGCAATAACAAAGAGAAGTTTGGACTGATAAAATACATTACATCGATCTGAGAAGATTGATTTTGAATGGGGGGATCTTGGCTTATTCTTACATTACTTATATTCGGTAAAATACTATCAATGCCTTCATTTCCTGGAGGAGGCCGAGGGGCATACTGAGATGGAGTTTGTTGATATCCTGGACCAACTTGAGGTGGTGCCGTGGGGGGTCGCTGTCCAGGTGGAATCCCTATTGTTGGACCCTGCTGCGCGGGCATAGTGGGTCTAATTCCTGAATTGATATGAATAAGTGTGAGATCAAAATTCATTCACTGTAGCTTCATGATCCATGATCTGATAAGAAAACATCCAAGTATTGCAATTTTTGGTTATTAACTGTATTTCATTGGTTATAATGATTAAATAACCATTATATGTCCTTATGATGTGTCTCTATTTATAAGATCAAGACAATTCACTTAATACAAATAACAAAAAAAAAACGAGCAAAAACCTTGAGCAGGTGATCCTGGAAAACCTTGTGTAGCGAAATTTGTGGGAGGACGCCCACCAGTAACATGTGTTGGTCTAGCATTTGGAGGGATCCCGGCAACTACTTGTGGTGGTGGACGAATGGACTGTGTGTTAGGCCCAACTGGTCGATATCCAGAAAAGTTTTGCTGGGCTTGTGATGTTGAAACTCCAACATTAGGTCCCATAGGTCGTTGTTGTGGTTGTGTAGGACTGGTGCTAGGACGCTGTGTGGCTTGCTGGGAATTTGGCGGTGGTGGTTGTGTATACATGTCTTCGAGCTTAATTAAATCTTGTTTCAGGACAATTTGTTAGATTTACCGATTTTAGATTTTGTGCAAATAGCGATTTTTTTTTTTTTTTTTTTTTAAAAAAAAAAAAAATAAAATAAAAGTAAAAGGACGGAAGTATTTAATTAATAAGCTCTACCAGCTGAATCTTCTAAAAATTGTTTATACAAGAATAAAGGGAGAAGATTCCACTTTACAGTCCCGACTAGATATATATACCACTAAATGAAATTTGTCGATTTTTATTTGGTTATTTGAAGTTATACGGCTATCACTGCTAATTGCGTCATTCCCGTCATCTATTTTTAAAAGTTCGCTCTTTTAACGTTAATTCGATTTGATTAGTTTTTGGTTAACCAATTCGAATTAAATTAGCTACAGATGATTTTCTAAATGTACTGGTTACAGTACAAGCGTGTAGCTAGAGAAGCGTTATTTTTTGTTAACGTTAAAATTTATTTTTTGTTAACGTTAAAATTTATTTTTTGTTAAAAACTAATTGACCAATAAAATTACAAGGTTAGATACCATATAACGATAATTAAAAAATATTTAAATAACTCTTAATATAACAAAATTCAGCTGTAATTTATTAGAAAAATTCACAATTTCATCATTTTTTTCTACCGCTGTACTGTATATACAGACAGTATTAAGAAAAGCATCTCGCAAATCGCGTGTAATACTGTACGTGAGATATATGCTAGGTTTATTTCACGCAAGGCACATTTTCATATCACAAAATAAAGATTAAATATAAAAAGATTTACTAAAGTGCACTAGCTCTCGATATAGTGAAGAATTTTGAATTACGGAATTATTAAACTCGGCTCGATACGTACAGTGAATTATATATTAGTGCCGGAAAGGGAAAACCTCGAACCGGAATTATAACTTATTATTGCCGGTTCAAGTTTTTCCTTGCCGGCACTCATAGTATTCTCTCGATATAAGCATAGTGAAGATTTATTTTTTCAGCCCGACGACTTCATTATAACGAGAGTGAGTTGTATAAGCCATACAATTGGTTTCTCTTTTTTGTTTTATATATATCAATTACCAGATGGATATTTTTTTTTTTTTTTTTTTTATGGCGAGGCCTGGCTCTTGTCTTTTATTATAACCGATAAATTCTTAATGAGGGTACATCAGAAGATACTTAAGCTATTTAGTAAGATTATGAGCTCAGTCTACTTTAACCATGACCTAAGCCATACTAGTGTAGGATAGGTCCAGGCCTACCTAGATTTATGGACTCTTAGAT